ACTTATTAAAAAAAAAATAGAAAATATTTGTTACAATAAAATATTAAACAGTTTGAAAAATTATTATTGCAGAAAATATATATATTACATCGGTATATTAAAAACGTGAAAAACATTACTTATAAGAAATATCAAATCGAACTTCATTATCTTGCCACATTTTCATAAGTATACTTTAAAAGAATTTACAACTTTATGGTATCAGTGTAAGATAAATCAATATCGTTGTCATATCTACGATGGAATAACATTAAAAGAAAAATTAAAATACTTTAAAAAATGTTTTTTTATTAACAATTTTCATTTAAATACATTTATAGTGAATTACTTTCGGTAACATGAGCTATACTGAAATCATATTATCGCATCATTCAATAACCTTATAGGGATGTAGAGGGTTAGAAATCAGTACGATCATAGAGGGCACAAAATCATGTGCAAACATTGAAACATATTGACCTAACGTGAGCAAGTTGGAAATCTGTTTCCATTTACATATAAGATATGATATCGTTATTATTGTTTTATATATGTTATAAATGTTCCTAAATTATGGTAATGTTGTAAACAATTTGTCAAAATAAAATAGAATTATATAAAACTATTAAAATGTTAACGATAATAATAATAGTCAAACCATTTTCTTATTTTGAGCGGCGAGAAAAATGAATAAACATAAAATGTCACATTAACAGATAGATACATGTTACATTGCTTATTTTTTTATAAATACGCATTGTAAACTGTTGACAGGTAAATAATCATCAATAAATAATTCGTGTAGGTTAAGGATAGAAAGTATTTCTTCCTCATGAATGTATTTTAAATCTGTACAGGTATTCTTCACTTTTTACATTGACAAAATGAAGCGAGCACGAATAAAAGCTACAGTTACTGTTCCAACAAGACGGAAAACAACTCAAGAAACTACTGTTACTGAATCTATAGCTACAACCGATTCCATTGAAAAAACTGATAATGAAGTTAATGATGTTTCTTTGGTGTTTCAACAACAAATTTCAGAAAATCAGGAAAAGCAAACACAAGAAAACGTAATAGTAACAGAAGAAATACAGAATGAAACGAACAATCAAACTTCTAAAGATGATTTTAAACAAAGTTCTGACGAATCAAGAAAAGAAACATTACAACCTTTAGAAAACACAAATACAACACAACTTGGTAAGTTTAATGGACAATACAATAAATAACTGTTTTTTTCAAGGATGAAAATGAAAAATTATTAGTAATTTATTATATTTAGGTTCTCCTATAAAATTAACGCAGAGTCGATTAAATTTTATGAGGCCAGTACCTAAATTGGATAGCGGTGGTAGAGTAAGAAGAAATAGCATACAGGGAAGCGGTGCAAGTGCAAGTGAATCTGAAGATGATAGTAAAAGAGTAAATTCTACTGTTACCAATCATGTAAAAAATGATTTAGTTCATGCAACCGAAGTTGTTAAGGATAAGGTTATTAATAATACTAAAATGACTAGTTTAACAAAATCAAAAGTTGGTCAGAAGAAACGTGTTTTAGTTTCTGAATCTGCCAGGAAATTAGCTGATGCCAGAAGAGAATTTAATTTAAAGCATGAAAATAAGACACCAGATAGAAGTAAACTTACTATGTATGATCTAATATATTATAATCCTATTACAAATCCTATGAAAAGATCTAAAGAATCTGAAACAGTGACAAGAAAAATTTCAACGTGTCAGTAAGTATCTTAATCTAAGAAGAATTAATATTTTTTGAAGTAATATAACAAAACATTGAACAATTATTCAATATTACAGATCTGAAGAACTTAGAGAAGAAGAAGAAGAAGAAGAAAATGAGGATGATCCATCATCCGCAATGCCTGTACCACAAGTAAAAGTTGGACCGGATGGTCAACTAATAATAGATGAACAAAGTCTTGTTATAGAACAAACCAATACAAAGAAAAATCGTGAAATGTTATCAAAAGAAGCAATCATTGATGATGATACGGGGGGTGGGTTCTATAAAAAACGTCATAAAAGTAAAGAATGGCCTAAATGGGAAACTCTAAAATTTTATAAAGCCCTAAATACAGTTGGCACTGACTTCCTGTTGATGCAAAGTCTTTTTCCAAATCGCACACGTCAGGAAATTAAAATGAAATATAAAAAAGAAGAAAGAATGAACAGAAATCTGGTAGAAAAAGCACTTGAATACCATCAAGAATTTGATATTGAATTACTAGAAAAATCATTAGGTAAATTTTGTAATTAATAACTTTGTATGTGTATATGTAACTAAATTGTAAATTTAATTTATATTTACAGCCACATTGGACAATTTAGAAAGAGAACGTATTAATATAGAAGAAAAGCAAAAACGTGCAGGATCAAAAGGGAAACTAATGAAAAAACTAGACAGAAAGCGAAAATGCAGTAAGCTAAATTGAATCTTAATTTTAAGTATTTATATTTTAGACATTCTTTTCAAATATGAAAGGAACTTAATGATTTATTTGCTATATTTATCACAATATTATGATATTACCAAAAACAAAATTTATACTTGCAGGAATTGTAGCAACTAGTATTGGAGAAATGGATGCATCAGATGAAGAAGAATGTTTGGATTTAATTCAACAGAATGAAAATATAGAAGGTAATGAACATCAACAATCGCTTAAAAAGACACAAAAGAAAAAACGTAAAAAGGTAAAAGACGAAAAAAGAACATCAGAAGCATCTTCAATTGAAACAGAAGATGTTGGATCACTGAGTGTTTGCTCTGGTTTCGATAGCGATACAGAAATTTATCACGTACGACCAACTAGATCTGGAAGATTACCAAAAGTAAAAAGGTTGCAAGGACCAGACATAAATACACTTGATAATGAAACATTGAATTATGAATCAAGTGATCAAGAATCTATACCCCCGAAAAATACTACAAAAGCTTTAGATAACATAATTTTTGAAAATACTAATATTAATCCAGAAACTGATTATGAAAATTCTGATAAGACAGTCATACCAAATATTAATCATGTAAAACCGGGGTCCTTGGTCATTCTATCAAAGGAATCACCAGAGGAACCTGGAAAAAGTGTCTTACAAGTTTACATGGTTAGCTCCAATGTTAACTCTTCGCGAAATATCGAGGAATCCACTGCAACGCCTGTAAATTTGCCACCGGAGCTTTTAGCAACTGTAACATCTAGATTATCAGATATGGAATCAATTGTAGTAAAAGAAGAATATGAATAATTGAATATAAATTATTTATGAGGATATATAACATTAAGAAAATGCTCATTTTCATAAATTAGTACAATGTTACATAATTGATTCATGATCATAATTATTATTTCGCTATCAATCCACAATATTACAATTACATAGCATAATATTTTTTACGTTGCATAGTGAGTTTGCAAAATTGCAATATAGTAAATAAGATTTATAAGACTATGTAAGCTACAAGTTATTATTATATATACATAACTTTTTTATAATTATAATGAGGTGTTCTTACACTAATAATGCTGTGAGGGCATATACAGAATGCTTAATTTAATTAAAAGTCTATCACTAAATTACGGAATTTTATGTGAATTCTCGTTTTCATAGGTTGACTTATAAAAATCTAAACAAGAGAAACAATGTTTTTCGCAGTGTAGGTGATTCTTTGTGATAGGAATAAAAATACTCGTCTTTATATTAATGTATATGTTTTGTTATATTCTGTAAACTTGCACATACCATAAATGCGCAAATTTCCGCAGTCTATTCATTACCTAGTACCTTCTACAAGTTTACAAAATGTTAAAGCTTTGCTCACGTATTATGAAACACTGTATATGCTTGATTATTGCTATTAAAGGAATATTAAGTTATTTTGTTCATTTATATTCTAGCAAATATTGTTCTTTGTTATCAAGCTTGTATATAATGTTTACTTATAATATATACGAAGTATATAAATTAAAAATTTTATTTATTTTGCCACAATTTGTTAGTTGAAGATGTTTTTTAGTATAAATTTTGTACATGAATTAGAAATTGATTTAAGTCATTAATAAAAATATGAATAAATATAAAATTTAAAAATGATAATTTAATAACATAATTCTAATGTATCACATGGTATCCACTTTGAACTTTCCAATGCATCCCACAGATTATAGTCTTGTTCTATTATTTCTCTATTAAGTTTATCAATATCTACAGGAATAGAATGTTCTGTAAAATGAAAGGCAAAGAAAATTATAATTTTATACGTTCTAAAAATAAATTACACAGGTAGAATATTGTTACACAATTAATATAAAATGTATAGAGATCTTCTTACCAATTAATTCTAGTTCATCCTCTTCAGGTTTTTGATCTGATATGTAACTGTTATATCCATCAGATGTAGGTTCACTTTCATAGTAACCCTGTTGCCATGCACTATAACTATTCCAATATGACGATGTATCATAATAATTATAAGCATCCGAATTCATATTTGATGCTGTATAGTCAGATGACGACTGTGGTGGGGTAGATCTGAAGTAACAGAAAAAATCAAATATTAAATATGTACAATTCACACTGTGTAAATATGAATAATGTAGCAAATATTTTAAGTACCCAGATATTTTGTTCCAAGGTCTAGGAACAGCATTACAAATTTTTAGTGATTTTGTTCCTAATCCTCTATATCCATTCATGGTAACTAAACTATTTTTTTGTTCTTCTTCATTAGCAAATCTCACAAAACCATATCCTTTACTAAATCCAGAACTGTCCAAAATTACTTTTGCTGTTCTAATTGAGTTATATTTTGCTGCAAATGCTCTATATAAAGAATAGTCATCTACATCTGTCGACAAATCTCCAACCCAAATACTAAATTCTCTTTCTGCTGCTGGTTTTCCTGTTGTACTAGCATGATTTAATCGAAATCTTACAGCCTAAAGCATAAAAGTAATAAAAATTTAGAGAGATATCATAATTATACGTATAATAAATATTTTATTCTTACCGGATTAGAACCAGGGATTACTTTGCCATTTAATTTATGCATCGCATCAAGTGCCATTTCATCAGTTGGAAAATGTACAAAACAATATCCTGCTGGTTCACCAGTATAACGATTTCTCATAACTTTAACAGTTTGTGGTTGTTCTCCCATTTTATGGAAAGCATTCATTATAAAACTTTCTGTCATATACGGTTCTAACTAAACAATTATATATAAAATATGTAATATGAGAACAGAAGCAAAACTTTAGAATAATTTTTACAATAATAAAATGTGTATTTTTTAAAAATTACAGATAGCTTTTACTTACTCCACCCATCCATAATTGGCACAATACCATTGGTCCTGACATTTTCTTGTTTATGATTATTTGAAATTAACAAAACACTTAGAATTCCATCATGAAACATAAAACATAACAACTCGCAATTTAAATTGTCTGAATAACAACGTATTTAATCTACTTTCTGTTTTCTAAACAGGATTATTCTTGATACAATGTAAAAATGATTTAAAAGATGATGCATACGCAAAGTTAGAAAACATTTAGAACAGGTTAGAATTACAATCTATATACATTGTTTACACAACCTATAATCTACTGTATTTTAAGTAGTAATTACAATTCTTTTATTAACCTTTTTTTATTTTTTAATTTTACAAAATTTAATTTATAACGTGTTTTACACTTACTATATTTTTATATTTTACTAAATATGAATTTTTCTATAGTATAGTTGGGGAAATAATATATACTTGTCACTCAACTACTCTCCAACGAAAAGTATTTTAACTACGTTCTGACTTCTAATTGGTAAAGTATACACCATTACTACAGTCTGCCAATCAGAAATAGATAAAATTTATGCTCTACCATGTAATAGTTATTGTTAACTGAAATAATACTTTTAATGTGAATAATTGAATATAGAGAAATTAAAGAAATTTTTATATTCAATTTTTACGAACTTATACATTTTATTTGTTAGTAAACACTGATAAAACCATAATACTATATTTGATAAAATTGAACAATGGTGCAGTAACTTAATACTTCAGTTTATATCATAAAGGAACACATTATTTTTTAATATTTCAAAATTATTTATTTAATGAAAATCATTTTTATACGTATGCTTTTCTTTTGACGAATGATATTTGCTAGTAAGCACAAGTAAATCATTACAAGTAAAAATAGTTTTTAAAATAATGAAACGCGTAGATTATTACAAGTTGATATGGTATAGGCGTCATCTTTAACGAATATAGTTTTTTCTCCGTAGTGATAATGAATTTTGATATCGCAGCAAATAAACATGGCGCTGATTTGATACTAGAGTTCTTTACTTCGGACAAGCCGCAAGCTTTGTCGCAATTTGCACAAACTCAGATATTTCATTTTTTCATTCTGCTTACATACAAACGAAATAATTTACTGTACAGTGAACGTGTCGTCTATATTCTGAATTGTTTTCGAGAGCGAATCTTTAATAAACCTGCACGTCATACATGTCAAAATGGCCCGGGAATATGATCATTTATTTAAGCTTCTAATAATAGGAGATAGTGGTAAGTGTACGAATTTTTATTTATGTGTAATATGTTTAATGATAAAATTACATTTTTAAAAAACACAATGTTACAGAAAGTTATAGTTTAATTAGGAATTTGTAGAATTTAATTTATTTATCGCAATTAGACTTTGTGTAAAATTATATTTTGTACTTGGTTAATAAAGGTTCAGATATAAATTGGTTCTACATGAATACCCTATATGAACTTTCCTTCTCAAATTTGTATATAAACAATAATATATTAGTACATTCACAATTTAACTTACGTTTATTTTATTTGTAATATAATTTTCTAAATTAATTGAATAATATTTAACATTGCATGAATATAGAGTACATAATTTTTTGCTATTGATCGAATACTTAATTAAAATATTTCATTATTTGTTCATAAATGTAAATTAATTTTTAAATGTAAGGATTTTTAAATATAAAAATATTCTAGGAAACTAAGCAATAGTGAGATAGTAGAACATTTGAATGTTCAAATATACAGTAACTGTATTTTATTATGCAAAATAAATATTTTAATTTTATCGTACAATTACATCTATTTAATCACACTTTCTTCTTTACTTTTTGTTCAAGGTGTAGGTAAAAGTTCATTGCTCTTACGATTCGCCGACAATACTTTTAATGGCAGTTATATAACTACAATAGGAGTGGACTTTAAAATACAAACTGTGGAAGTAGATGGTGAGAGAGTAAAGCTCCAAATTTGGGATACAGCTGGACAAGAACGATTTCGGACAATAACTTCTACTTACTATAGGGGAGCACATGGTGTTATTGTTGTGTATGATGTGACTAGTGGTGACTCCTTTGCTGATGTTAAAAGATGGTTACATGAAATTGAACAAAATTGTGAAGTGGTTAACAGGGTACTTGTAGGAAATAAGAATGATGCACCAAATGAAAAAGTGGTATTAACAGAAGATGCACAAAGATTCGCTAATCAAATGGGAATTCAATTGTTTGAAACTTCTGCTAAAGACAATATTAATGTTCAAGAAGTAAGTAACAATTTCATTTCTGTGTGATAAAAAAGACATTTATACATGTTTCTTCATAGTATATATGAAGACCCATAAATCAACAGCTGTTCTAATGAATTTTAATTCTTCTTTGTATTCAACAAATGTTTTAAATTTTATTTTTGTTCTGACTACTAGCATGTAATAAAAATATTAATTGTAATGTTTTTTTAGTATATTGAATTAATTCCAGCTTATACTAATCTGTTGTATTTAGATGTTTATGGCAATAACACGGCAGGTGCTTAGGACCAAAAAAGAAAGGAAGGAACGACAAGCTATACAAACCAGTGAAACAGTAAACCTGAGAAAAAGCACAAAGCAACATAAAAAGAAATGTTGTTAACAGCAACACATAAGCATGAGATCTGTTATTATATTCATTTGAAATGATAACAGAAGTAAATTACAACAAAATTTACATATAAAATAATACACACCAATGTTTTATAAAACTATTAAGTTTTGTATTTAAATTACATCGAAGATTGTATTCTTATAGAATTATACTTTGATGCTAGTAACATTTAATATACATAGGATGCAAATATTATGAATGTGTAGTATTCATTAAGTAAGAAAAACTTTGTACGCAATTTACTTTCCACTGCTGCATGCTTTTAATGCAGCAAAAAAAACATAAAAAACTATTTGTATTATATAACTTACAAAAAAAATTAGTACAAGAAGATAAAAGAAACGACACAATATAATTGCTTTTTATTTGTGCTTTGTATACCATAACTCATACAAAATGATATAAAGTGGAAGATAAAGTACATTG